GAAGTTCAACGTGAAATTACCCAAGGTCTAACTAAAATATCAATAAGGGGACTCCTACATATTGCATTCATATATTTTGAACTTGTCTAAAGGCATACTTCATCCTACGATTCTTCGATTGCCTCATTTTCACGCAAACTCTGTTAACATACACTTCTTCATATCAGTTTACCTCAAACGATTTTTGTCAGGTCTGAACCGGCTGTAGAGCTCATTTTGCTATCTGCCCTCCTGCAGAATATCCCAACAGTAGAAGTTTAAGCCCCTTTTCACTCTCTTTTTGTCCTTTGCTGGATATCAGCTAGGCGCCGTATCTAGCCAGGCTAAACCGTCATATCTGTAAAGTTGAGTAGATTATAAATTCGGCTTCGGCATTGGCTTCTCCTGTAACTCTAAGCAACATGACGACATCCTGCAACGAAACTGGAGCCGCCTGTCATTGCTCTATCCAAAGGCCGCCCCGTTTCTGTTTCCATGTCGTTGCTTTCATGCTTAGCGTTTAGCACCTAAGTGTGCCCTGCTGCGCGAGCTACAACCAGGATGACCAGGATGGCACCGAAGGTCGTAGTGGCAATGACGAGAGTGGCGGTTGACTGACGACGTTCAGAAGCAAACAACGGTAGCGTAAACGGGTAAGTAATACACGCTGACGCGTTACCCTCATCAGGCAAAAGTAGATCCAACTGGAGGGTAACTAGAAGTAGTAGCAGTAACCTGGTGGGCAAGGTGCTGAAAACTGACGTACTAAAAGAACACGGTTAAAGGTGTGGCTCCTTCTAAATGGGTAGACGTGACGCCAAAGCGGAAGAGATCAGCGGGGTATAATATTCAAGGCGTCAAGCTGACGATTCTTCGCAGGGGCGGTGTTTGCTGGTGCTCCTTACTTATGAGCGCTGTCAAATCTTGCGATACGCTTGTCATAAAGCTTGTTTGGCATATATATATATATATAATACGTACAGGCCGTGTTATAAGTATGTAAGAATACGATGTGTGCACGAATCTTCAATACTATACGCACTCGAATACACACAAAAAATGTGATTCATCTGTCCTTAAGATATGGGCAGATTCACACAGTACAGAATAGGCACAACGAGCTGGTATAAAATACGCGCTTCTACGCAGCAAGGAACTGCAGTGTTTAACAATTCAGTGTCTACACATTTACGGCAGCTGGACATAAGCGATTTCGATGTTTTGATGTTCATTTTTTTCTCCTCTCAGCATATTTTGTATATTTATCTTTTTTTGAAAGGATTTACAAAAAGATGTGCACGCATTGTCAAGCACTAACGGAAAAATGTTTGTCTAGCCGTTGAATGTGAGTGTCGGCTCTGACGATTCTGAACGTGTCCTATACTACGAGCTTATTGTCATTAGATTAATGATGTCGACTTGTTGCCTAGCTGCATACTCAGCTGCCGGCACTAACTCAAGAGGGTTACATTGACGGCCAGCAAGTGACATATAAAGCTGAAGCTCGCGGAAGTGTTTTTGTCATTGGATTTGGTGTTTCCGCTACGGTACACAAGACAAAGGCAAAGCGTGGAAATATAGCCTCTTTCCGTAAACTGGCTTTGTCGAAGCGGCATCTATATTGAATAGATTTTGTGTTATATAGTAATAACTGGGCTGCTCTAAAATCGCTCCTCCACAAAGGATAGTACTCATTACAACTTGTGTGTCACAACGTTTTCTTCCACCCTTTCACGCGTCATTCGTTACCTGTTGCATAAGAAAAAAGGTACCTTTTTTACACGGAAAAACAGTAACGAAAAGCAAGGCATATAGACAAAGCTGACTAATTCACATTTAAGTCATGTGGGCCCACCTTTACTAGTGTATATTGGCAGAGCAATAGCCAAATATCCTAAGAGTAAGAAATTATATTATTGAAGAGTTATTTAAAGCCTTCTTTTCTAAACGAGGCTGGACGATAACTTCCCAAGCTTATATCATTGGCCAATGATGTTCAAGGAGAAGGGTCACTAATTCTAAAGAATTAAATTGATCTTCTGAAGAACTGAAACAGTTATTAGTGAAGCAATATCTTGCTTGTGCGAAACAAGTCTTCTGTAGGTGCTGATCCAAGAACGATGTCAGCGCCATCAGATGGGAAAATGTCATTAAATTGGCCCTGGAGCGGCGATTATCCAGTAAACTTTTTCAGCTCTGGATTTAGTGCTAGGGACAGATCGCTGATATAGATTACTCTTATATTAATACATTCCAAGTTACTCTGGGTAAAAAGGATCATTGAACGTGCCTTGAAAGTAGGAGCTAACGAGTGCTGAAGTCAGAAAGGTTGTTGTTAAAAGAGCTCGCTTCCGCGGCTAGTCACATAAGTTAGCGATTGATTCATCCGTTGAAGAAACACTAGCGGCTAACGAATTCGGTTTTAACCTGAAGGCTTTGGTGTTTCTAAACTTGCCTGTTTTATGTGTAAATGGAAAGAGTAAACGTATTTAAGTCGTTGTCAGCATGGGATTTTGCCTAATCCTGTCTATGTGCAAACAGGTGTATTAGATGGAAAACGAAAACATATTGATATATTTAAGGCCTGTGTTTCCCATCTATGTTTGTAAAAAACTGCCTTAGCCCCACGGTCGTCATCAACAGATTTATGTTCGACGACACATTAGCACCATGAGACTTCCGAAACGTCTTGTTTCGCTTGTCACCACCGTTGCGACCAATGCTTAATCCCATTATAATAAAGGCATGAACTCCCTTGCCCAGTTTTTCTCAGTCTTTTTCCTCGCCGTTTCGCCGGTCTTACGTCAGTCCAAACTTGATCATTTACTTCAGTTTTTCTTTCGAAAAGAAATCTATAGTCAGATACCCAGCGCTCTTTCTCGTACAACACGAACCTCTGTCGTTATAGCAATGGAGTAACCTAGGGTGAACTAAAGCGGCACTCAGCTTTCTCGCTACCACTGAAACCAACTTTTGACACAGCGCTGCACAGAAAGCTAGCTACGGCTTGCCGCGGCTGGTCACCGGATGGCAAAGTACCCAGCCGCATGGAATAATTCCGTTTATGGCCTTGCTTTGCTTTATGGTAATCTAGAAGCATCAGTCGAGTCGGTGACGACCTGAGATTTCCATAGTCCATAGCGACTCTGGCAGCCGCATCTTCCGTTCGACTCCGCGCAGTTAGCGCCGGCATCAACGACTGCTAGGCAAATCAGGGAAGGAGGCAAGCTTAAAAGCCTGCACCTTTGCACGACGAACAGACGGAACATGGCGGCGGATCGGCAAGGGCAGGAACAGAAGGCGAAGGTACAAAGGCACTAGGTACCCATCAAATACTGCGTCACTCGCGAAATTTTCCACCAGTCTAATTGGGTACGAAGCGCAATGTGCAGCTGCTATTGTTTCTGCCACAGCAATCATCGAGCCATAAGAATGTTAGTGACGGGTGCTACCTGGAGCAGCTTGCCCCTTCGTCGTCTGGATACTATGATGACGCACGTCCTAGTGTAGGCGGAAAGCGAACAATTTCGACAAATTTCGCTACAGCCACTCGCTGGTTGGCTCCGCGAACTTCGTTAGTTGTGTTCCGCCAGTTTACCCGGCTGTCCTCTTTTAGCTTGTCCTTCCCATTAGCCATCTGGTAGCCGTCTGCTGCAACCGTAACGATAATAACGTCAACAAAAAAAATGGCAATAACAGCAGCACGACCACACCCGACTATGCTAGGGTCTTGTTCATGTCAACATTGGCTATATGGCTGAAGCGCAAAGTACCAAAACTGTCCGCTCTTGAAGTGTTATCAGAGCGCATGAACGCCAGTTGCTGGTCATAAATACGGCCGTACGCGAACGTGTTCATGCCGCTGTTTGGTAATCCTTTGGTTGGCTAGCGCAATAAGCAAACGAGTAAGACAAAGCAGGTGAAGACAAGGAGAAGAGCCAAAACATATTACATACAGTCATGATTCTTACAAATATTAACAGTCAACCGTGATCATGAAAGTCTGCTTGGGAGATCAGTAGTGCTGCTCCCTGATTACGGACCATGAAAATCGGTGTTCAATAAAAGAGTCTAGCGTTTGAGATAAATGATCAGATAAAGATGCACACAGAACACAATGCGGTCATTCTGCTCTTCAGCGCATAGAAGACTGTGGGCTGTTCCCTGCGGCTTGCCATTTTCACGTTACAAAATCTATCAATTAAATAAAATCGTCCACATCGACAACCCGCACCTGTGAAAAATGTTATGTTACTTGTAGTGCTTTATTTTCCTAGTGACTGACATCAAATAATGTTACCGATGTATCGTCGTTATCAGTAAATAACACCGGTACGTCAATGAGCGATCACACTGCCAGAGCAATATCTATCTTCACCTACGAACAATCGAATGCCAAACTTGTACATGTATAGGTTCTTCATAGTTTCATATTAGGCAACCTTCAAGTAAACTTGGACTAGGTCTTGGACTATAATCAATTAACTATGGTACATATCTAATGAATATTTCATTACAATGCCTTGTATGGTCTAAGTGAGGCCATATAATTACGACTTAAGTAGGCCTACCAAAATTATTTGTTAGCTCGGTATGGTTGAGGTTCTAACAGGTCTCTATACTGGCGCTCTTCTTGCTTCTCGTTTCTTCAGCTCATAAAAAGGGGCGGGGGGGGGGGGGGGTAGCTAAACCATTTTATAGAATGTGCGCGTATTATCGTATAACAATTCCTTAATATAATTAGCTGCTTTGATAACTTTTTGCATATCGGAAATAAGTTTCGTTTTGACAAAATCGAGTTATTAAGGAAACATAATAATCATATTAATATTATTGTATATGAGTCATATGAGATTAGAGTAGCCGGTAGCTCGCTTTGCTTTTCCATACATATAAACATAGAACATACATAGAAGGTGTCTCGTATTTGATTATACTATGAAAATGTAATCATTCATCGTTTTACTGATTCGAATATTATCGTCCTATGTCATTCTGTTAATAATTATGATTATTTTCAGTATAAAGCAAGCGGGCAGGTGCTGTTCGATCAGGTATGCCGAGTTCTTAACCTGCTAGAATCTGACTACTTTGGTTTGGAGTATTGGGACGAAGAAGGAACTAAGGCAAGTAAGACCTAGTCACCTCCTCTTTTTTTTTCTGTCCATATTTTTTTTCCTCTTAATTTTCAAGGAGTCCGGCACGGAGAGTTTGGATAATTGTTGACTTTCGCTCAAACTGACGACAATGACGCACTGTGGTTCGCCATAACGGTTTTTCTACTTGTTCTAGAAACAACTAGCTTTCGTCTGATGCCAATAGCGACGAATGAACGCACTCCCGTCACGACAGACAGCCCGTCTCCCAATTTACGTGTCGTACCTTGTATTCAAAAAACAAAAAAACAAATAAAATTGGGTAATGTCGCCACGTTTCTCTAGCATTCGTCGTTGTTTTTTACGGCATATAGTAATTATCATGCGAATTAAAAGTAATATAGTTTACGGTATTTTGTATGCTGTTTTTTGATAACTTATTTTGATCCAATTCGAATGCAATACTTTGCGCTCTAAGATCATGAGCGCCAGCACTGAGTATAATAGCCGTTGTCCAAATCTGGCGATAGCTTTTTTAAAGAACAGGTTTATCATTTTTTTTTTTCCTTTGATAATCCACCATTCTTGAAAGGGCTTGCGCACCAAGAAGAGAATGACTAGGAGGCATGAGAAAAATGCCGACTTTCCTGGACGTCGGGTTCATCGTTCTAAGAGCAGCCTAAGTTTAAGATAATGGGGGCGCAGAAGGGGCGATACGACGACAAAACCAGGGTATACCGCTGTACTGTTAAAACCCCAACAAAGTAAATAGCATTCAGACTGTTCCGGAAGTACCTGATACGACGAGATGACGAGAATCAGCCTAGGAGCGACATAAAGCAGCTGTGCTGGTGTTGTGGTAGGCGATGTATAATTTATATTTACCGGAATATCCAGCAGCAATCGACAACGGCCGCATTCCCTATCGCAATTATCGCGCGCAAGAGGATCCGGAGTAAACACTGTAAATGTTTGCTCGAGATGCAAAGGGTGTACGCAAGGCAACGTTTATGTGCTTGTTGTTTGAAAGTGTAGTAGAGTAAAACGTGTCGCCTGCAGGAATAATGATGAGGTTAATGCCACAATCGGCTGGGCGGGCAAACGGCATTGTAGAATACGCCAACATAAGACTGGTTAACATAAAAGTTCACGAAGTGTTTGAACATGTGTGCGCTGAAGACCGAATCAATGAGTTTCGTGACGTTGCTACTTCATCAAGTGAAAAAGCTCGAAGAGTAAGCGTCAGACCTACAAGAGAAACGAAAGCGTGTGCCATCGGTGACGGTGGCTGACCGTCGAATTGAAAACAGTTCTAAAAGAATCTCGCATAGCCCGACACCTTTTTTGCCAAAATAAACAACTCTAGTGGTTAGTTACAGCATCGTGCAGCCCCTCGGTCCTGCTCTGAGAGAGGTCTTTTTTAAACAAACGTGACTGATTTTTCATGCGGATCACAAAACGGATATCGGCAGCGTTGTGTGTGAAACAGAGAAATATTTTAACAGCACCGATGGCCGAAAGAGCGATATTTGTACAGGCTGGTTGTCATGAATGTATGGAATTTGAAGGAGACATATATCAGCAAGATAGTTTGTTGGAGAGGTTGATATCTCGCGACCCCTCTTACCCGCCTTAACGATGGGGGCACTCGTTAAGCTGGTTCTCGCAGCATTGGCGAGTAAAGGGTCGGTGCCATTATATGACACCTTCACCGCCACAATCCCTCACCAGTACAATCGCGGAGCTTGCAGCGAGCATAAATCTTAAGGCGACGCTAAGGATCACACTGCCCTGCAATGAAGTGCAATAGACCAGGCCGCCCTAGTCGAAGTATTTCCGTTTCCTACAATCAGAGGCCTCACGCCGCGCATAGGAAAGAATAACGTGATTGCCTCACGTGGAGAGCGACTAAGTATCGCAGCATCCTATACGCAGCCGGTTGATACAAAATCAATGTATGTAATGGTGCACAAACTCGTAAGTGAACTGGAAGCGCTGCCGCTCATTTCACCTCTCCCCTGGTCACTGCTGCCAATCTCAACACTCGAAGGCCAGGTGGACAAACTTTTGTAACTCACCTACGAATTCCTTTCTGTATCTCACGTGGTGAATGTTAAGACATTTCGTCGAAAATCTCCAGTCTGTAGTGCCTTCGTTTCCCTCAAAAGCATTAATCATGGATCAACTACACTTGCAGTCTTCAAGCTTATGGCCAAAATACAGCTTTTTAGCATCCGTTTGTAAGACAATCTGTCGAAAAGCAAGTGAGTTATAAAGACAATAGTACAGTCATATAATTCCACTTTACCTTTCGCAGATGTTTACGTCAAGGAATACGATATCAGACGCGGTGCCCTTTTTCGCCGTAGAGCGGAAAGATTACCTCAATATAACGCGAAATTCTTCAACAAGACTTCACAGTACGGGAACGAATACAAGGTTTGGGGAACCTACACAAGAAGAAGGCCGCCTATCTAGATAGCGTCTACAACAAGTATCTCAAATGCGCCATCGTTCTGGACGGCACTATTTAATAAATGTTTACACATATGGATACACTCCTAGTTCACTGGAGAAACGCTACCCTGTTAGTAATAGTTAGTAAAAAAGACCCAACAGCGTTGTCATCATGGCGGCGAACAACGAAGAAAAACGTGTTATGGCCTGCTCTCCGGCTTGCTGACTAAAAAACTGAGCATCTACCTAAAAAGATACCCAGAAAGAAGCATACACACACACACTGGCTAAGGTAAACACAAAAAAGGGAGATAGACTACTAAAGTGGCCACTGGCACCTTCTACCTGGCATGGTCGCCTAAGTCAGAAAACAAGAAGCAACTTGGTGCAAGATTGCCACCGCGAACGTCACCGAAAGATGCAAGAAAACAATGTTGGCTGCATGCCCGATCAACTCGGTTCATCGTTTGTCCCTAACTATCGCTTTCAGCTTGTTTGATCTCCAATCAGTCACAACATACGAGGCACGCGTCATGTGGAAAAATCTTGCATTAGGGAACCTAGAACAACTAAATCGCGGCAAAGCCTTCTTTTTCAAACAAGCGCAGGTACTATACATAATGATTTGAAATCATCTTGCATGTCTCCTAGTTGATCCGCCACTGCTGTCCGAGAGCCCACTTCGTACGTTGTCATACGTTTTGAACTCCCAGCAACAGCAGTCTTTAAGACCAGCGTTAGAAAATGAAAGGAAAATTCTCATGGGTCATGAAGATTTTTTTGTTTCGAGTCCAGAGACGAACAATAAGGGAAACAAACCGGCCAAATAAATACTTCGTCACTCGCTTTACTCTGCAGGAAACAAAATTATCACAAGCCTGACGATACATGTGGGTGCTTCAAATGTGATAGATATCGAGCCCTTCGTTGCCCTCTGGTACCATCTTTAGAATATCCGACAAATCTCTTAAATGAGTTTTATAAACTCAAAACAATCTTTAGGACGCAGTATTTTTAATAGTTTTTGATTTTTTTTCTGATAGCGGAATATTGTGCCGTTAACCTGTGTGAATACGGTATTTACTGTTGTTGGCAAAGCTGCATAAAAAGATTTTATTGATGTCATACTAATTAATCGGTTGGTCCAGATGTTACTACGACCTAACGAATTTATTCTTGAGAATCATTTACTCTCTCCATAAGTTACGATGCTGTATGCGCTATAGCGATGTTAAACTGCAAATGTGATACAGTCATCACCAATGACATCACCAAGCAGAACATTTACCTGCCTAGCAGTCTGCATCGTGCACTATCGCATTTATTAATATACACAAATGTATGCATGTATGTGTCTACCTTGCTTCGGGTAAAAACCTTTTGGTCTTTGCAGGGACACCCCATGTTTATGCTACTACGACTACAACAAACTGCTACTGCCTTACGCGCCATATACATATGTATAAATATGGAAGGCTGCACACTGCTTGCTTTCTATTTGCGTCCTATCTCGCTAATAATTACCCCACGTATAGAGATATACAAATAGATATAGCTGCGGCAACTGTGGCGATTGTTGAGGTTTTGTTGTGCCATACAAATCGAAAGGGAGCGCCAAAGCGGAGGTGTGCAGCGGCCTTCACCGTTGCTGGCCTGCGGCAGACCGAGGTCACCTACTATTAGCTTCTACAGGAAAATGTCATCGTGAGCGAACGAGAGATATATAAGCAGTCCGGCAACATTCTCGACAGCGATGTGCACGGCATAGGTGGCGCAACTGATAAGGGGGCTCAAACAACACTTAGCACCAATAGAGCAGCAGGAAAACTATTGGCCTCTGACCCGTTAGCGAACATTAAATAACATTTACATTATTGGAAATTAAGCAGATTCTCTTTCTTTTGGTCGTTTCCCGGATGTCCTGTCTTTTCTTTAGTATCATTTTTTCGAATGCTGGCACTATTTTACAAGTGCTCTTTGGTGATGACTGTGCTAACGTCCCCTCTCTAGCTTTCTTTTTTTCTCTCCAATGTCTTACATGCTTTCTTGTACCAGCCCAATAAGCTTGAATAGAACGACAGCTTCTATACTATGGCCTGAACGGCCCCATGTATATCATAAACACGCTCGCTAGCATTGACAAGTCCATTTGACGTGTACCCAGCCACCTCAACCCTGCTGGTGACTGACAGCACCTGTTATATTGTCCTCGGTAAGGCTCGCAGATAAATAGTGCCCTGTTTATTTAGAGAACGCTATTGAGAGAGATCTCCGCGCATAACTCATAAATAATAGCCAGCGTCTTAAGTTCAAAAAGTTTAAAAAGAATGACTTCCCAATAAAGCTATCGTAGTTGGTTGATGTGGTACCCTTTGGACTAAAAACCCTTGCCGTAGCATATGTAATAACTAAGCCATGCTTATGAGGACATAAAGGATTTTCTTGTCCAAGTGTTGCCGGGCAAAGTTAGTTTATATGATGCGATTCGACGGTACTGAAGCACTGAATTTGACCATCATACAGCTGATTGCATTACGCTTGAGATGCGTACGAGATGAGATTGACGACCCGACGTTTTGTTCGTGGTTTAGGAGGAGTTAGAAAGATCTTGAGACAGCACAAATGAGCATAGGAAGCCTTTGCAGGAGAACATGCATGTCTTTTGTCAGCTTGCTGCGAAGTGCGATACAAATTCGTAGAGGGATGAGCAGTTGGTGGAGGTACGGTACCCCAACACCCGTATGGCACTAAGATCTGGCTGGGGTGGTAAAGTTTTTTTTCGCTTCGTGGCTGTGCGAGCTGATACCAGTCGGCTGGTGGCACCTAAAAACGAGGAAACTATATAACGAACCACAACCGGATGTTGGGAAAAAGATTTACATGACTGAGATGAACAAAGGTAGGAAAGCAAAGGTATACAGAGTCTGAGAGTTTATTTAACGAAAAGGGTAATGGCCAAATTTCTCTAATTGGCTCAATCGTGCTCAACATACCTTAACCGTGTCCTACTAACGGACAGTTATAGCGAAGCAGCGCTGACATTTGATTTAAATGACGCTGGAGACATCAAATTCTCTATTTATCGAAATATGCAACTATCATATATATATATATACGCTCCTGCATCCTCCTTTTTCCTCCTTTAAAGCAGAGAAGATGGAGGTAAAGTTGTGCCTCAGGGACCATTCAGTGATCTGTTGTGCATATTTTTAAAGCTAGATAGCATATTTTTTAAAAGCGGCCATATTGCTGGATAGAAAGAAATCGAACAAAAAGCTACGTCTTATTTAATATTTTGAAATGCTTCAGATTGAAAAATGCGTTGAAAAATGGGGTCGTAAAACATATCTAAAGGGTAGTACGGTCGACTGTAGAGCGATCAGACTCATAGCGCTTTGATGCTTTCAAATATTATGAGCAGGAAATATTGTCAACAAATACTGGGAACACATAGAAGTGCATCTAGAAATGCTTGAGAGGATGACCGTTCAAAACATTTTGATCGAGGATGAAAATTCAGTTTGCTCCTAAATGGTTCTCTAAAGTTTATGTTTCTTTTATCACTTGTGCATAAATAAGTTGGTCCGTCAGCGAATTGGCTTTAAGTTACCTATACCCCGTCAACTAACTCTTAAGAAACAGTGACTCTGAGGTGATCTTGAAGGTTCCAGTTGCGTGTCCGCGTTGCAGGGCCTCTATAGTGAGGTTCAGCTGCAAAATAGTATCAGTTGCGCAATCGTTTTGTACCACTCAGGCAGTAGCCAGATATAAGCAAGTTGCTAGCGTAACGAAGAGGTATATGGTCCTCATTTCACTTTATGATTTAAGATCGATCAGCAGGCTTAGCTCCGGCAGAACCGTCATATACCATGGTCACTAGAAGCCTAAGTCGAGTATCGTTAGCTTGAGAAGACTAGACAATAAAAGCTGCTCCTCAACATAAAAATGCAAGTCATCTCTCTTCTGCTACCCGTTACCTTATTCTAAGCCAAATTAATAAGTAAACAAGTGACTAAAAAATCTATTCATCCCCCGTGTATGACACTGAATTAATGCAAACCGACCCTCCGTTGAGCGCGATTGAAGCCCACTTTCTAAACGATCATCTCACATCTAAATTAGTAGATATTAATTGTGAAGCGTGCGGAGATGAAAAAGAAGAGCGGCATTAGAAAGAATGTTTCTACTAAGCCTCTTATAGCGTTCGATGTAACAATGACGACCGCAGTGGAATGAGTAACAATAACGTGGCCTATTGGAGCAAACAAGCTCGGATCGACTACGCAGAGGAAGACAGAGATAGGGGTAATGAGAAGCTGAAAGCAAGTAGGCTTTTCTCGACCAACTGGTCCAGGTGCTAAAGCCCTTAATAATGAATATTCTTCTTAAATCCCCTCGTGTACGTATTTGCCTATTTAGCCGGAGCGTGAGGATGGCCGAACAGTGTAAAGAACTTCTCTTCCGTTTACTTGGCTTCCAGAGGGCCGGAATAATTGGAATAGAGGTTGGCGGACCACGCTACACCGCAAGACAGAATTCTCACAGAAATTTTAAATCTCTTAGCAAGCAAGATCGAAACTCTGGGTAGACCTGTAACCTATTGGGTAGTAACAGAAAAGGATGAAAATAGAACGTTCTGTAAACTTGTTTCTGCTATTAGCATGAGTCTAAAACATCATTCACTTCATAAACTATGCATAATCACATTATTGGCTAAACCTATCTTAAATATAATTACGTGACCCGAACTTACGTAAATGATATTATTAATTTGCTATTTTTCTATTAGCGTAGCACAATTAATTTTATCAAGATATTACATACTTATACGGCAGTCAATCAAATTATTTTTCGAAATATTCTAGCCTATTTCCTGTGTCCTTATCGTCGACCTAATATTACTACGCTGTTAATTAATTCTGTTGCAGTATTGGCTGGATTACGAAAAGGCGATGTGTAACCAGCTCTGTCTAAATCTCGAGGACGTATTTCTTGAATTCTGCGTCAAATTTTACACGCCCGATCCAGGGCAGCTCGAAGAGGAATTCACACGCTATCTTTTCAGCCTTCAAATCAAACGGGATCTCGCACAGGGCATCCTTTTGGTGCACGAGGATACTGCCGCCGTCTTGGCTTCTTACATAGTCCAAGGTAGGCTTGAAACGAAACTTCAATAGAAGTGACGAAGAGAGAAAAGGCGAATAGAAAAAGCCTTGTATATAAAACATACGGTTAGAATACAGCAGAGTATACATCTATATAGAGAATGTACCGCCCCGTCCGTGTTAGATTCTATACGAATGTGGCAAGCATATACTGGGATGACACAACATTATAAGAAGGCGATCAGTCGTTCCTTCGCGCGTCATCTTTTCTTCCATCTTCCGAAAAAAAAAAAGGGTTCAAATCCGTACCCGTCGAATTCAACACCTGCCAGCGCTATA